CCAACACTGCCAAGGTCCAAACATACTCGAAATCCGTCGACGCCGTTCGCATGGAGTGAGGATGGAATACGAGTAGGAAGGAACACTCCAACGGCGCAGGGAGGCATAGCCGTGATTCTGGCCACATGAGATGCTGTGCATCAAGGCCCTTCAAAAAATAATCTAAAAAGAATACGATTCAACAATTTAAATAAAATAAATTATTCCTTGTTATTCAGTCCTTGAGTAAATAATCTACAATTGTTCCGTATATAAATAATTTGTTCAGGTTTTTGACGCCATAAAATAAATGATTCATTTCGACCAAATTATTCGTAGGCATTTTCAATGATCTTATTGGACCAAGTGTTAGGATGAAAAACTCCGATTGGCCCTAAGTATTGTACGGCAAAAGTTAACTGCATGTACATATGTACGTACTAGTATTGTGGATTATTCGGTACAGATTTCCAGACCCTGTCGAACCGAATCGATTCACGAATCGACGCTATTGGCTAACCCAATTTTGAATGGATTTGATTGGCTCTTACAGAAAGGACAAGTATATTCAACCAATCAGGACTCCACCGTGGTTCAATATTATTAATTAGCGCGAATTTTGGAAGTGCCTCTAACCACGGCGCATTACTGTAATACATAGTATTGCCTTTGATGTCGGCAGCTTTGAACGCCCTCCGTGGTATGGCTTTTGCCGAGCTTATTCCTTCATTGCCGCTTTATTGCCCCAACGTCAAGAATGTATGCGCGATTCTTCTCTATACAAAGGGGGCCGTTGGCGACCACCGTTGTGACTAAACTAGTTGGTCTCAAATGTGAACTCTGCAGAAAATCGTGCAAGGTACTTCGAAGTACTACGTAGTACTAGTACAGTACTACATAGTAACGAGCTATAGCAAGTTCATTTCATTCCGATAACAGCATACAGTACCCATTGAATATTTTTTTAAAGTTGTTTTGAATTATTCAAATAATTCATTCGCTCCGGACGCAGGGGGAATAAATAATTCAACCGGGCAGGAGGCACAAATAAATAACTCAGTCCATAAGTCCCTGTGAAATGAATGATCTTGTTTTCTCTTGAGCACAAATAAGTAAAAAATAGTATTTTCAATGGCCTTGCTGTGCATGGATCACAACGTGGGCGCAACGTT